ATTAGTGGGTGCGCCCCTATTCCTAAAGTAAAAGGCGCACCCACCGCGCGCACACTTTTTACAAACCCTAAACCCTAAACCCTAAACCCTAAACCCTAAACCCTAATCCCTAAACCCATACACCAGCTGACCCTCGCAGCTCTGGGGCTCCGGCTCTCTTTCACGCCGCCGCTCCGCGATCTGGAGCTCGATCTTCCGATCTTCGACCTCCTTCTCCATCTCCTTCACGGGTAGGTTTTGGTGTTTAGGCGCTTTTATGAACACCTGTTTTCCGAGCTGCCAAGGCGTCTCAGAAATCTCCAGGGGGAAGGTGTGTTTAGGCTTTAGGGTTCAGGGTTAAGGTTTTGTTCTTTTGGTCTTTTGCTGGTGTTCTTGATCTGGTCAAGAGTTTTGGTGAGGGTTTCATAATTCTTGTAGGTTTTGTCTAGTGTTTCTTGATTACTATAGATGACTCAATGTGCGTGGGGCTTTGTGAAACAGGGTCGAGGGCTCTCATATTACAGCCAGCAAGCCAGAGCTGTTCACTCTAAACTCGAAGCCCCAAAGCCCCACACCCTCTAAGGGGTACTCCCAGGGCTTCGACAGTCCTGGGCCCTTCACAGAGTCGTATTATATTTTTGTTGCTGAAAGTTTGTAAAGCCGCCACACCAACCTAACAGCCCCTTGAGCTCCGAGCTCCACGCATCTTAAACACAAACAAAGCATGCCCGCGGCAGGTTCGGCACTGCAAAAACAGAAACTTGCAACCCCAAAAAACCCTTTGAAAACCTTAGAAATGCCTTCATGGTACCTGTTATCACCATAAGCGGATGAATCATAGTTCGTAAGGATACGAATAATTGAGAACATTTAAGAATCTTAGTAGCAATAGTAATGATAACAGTCATAAAAGTAGCAGCAAGAATAAAAGGAGTTATAATGCTGAGAATCATCGTCATTAGCATGACAAGATAGCAGAAAGCATAAACATTCCAGAACATAAACGAACAAACAAGACAGGATGAAGTTGTACAAGCTGAATTAGCAAAAACCCAGTTTAAGCAACGAGAACTATAGGAACAACCGTAAAACAAACAAATCGCGCGTCTTGGGTATGTGTGGCCTCCACCTTCTGTAGAGTAGAGGCCAGTTCGCCTCGGAGCAACCGCTAATGTCGCGCTCAGGGCTTAGGGCTTCGGGCTTAGGTTTAGCATATAGGGTTTAGGGTATAGGGTTTTGGGTATAGGATTTAGGGTTTCGGGTTGTTCGCTCTAGGGCTTGTTGGTTTGGGGCTTCGGGCTCCGGGCTATGAACCCCTGCATGTATAATCTCTTCTTGGCTTAGGGTTATGGACCGCCGCATGTATAATATCTTCTTGGCATAAACCCTCAACCCTAAACCCTAAACGCTAAACCCCAAACCCTAAACCCCAAACACTAAACCCTAAACCCCAAACCCTAAACCCTAAACCGTTCACCATGCTACCATAGACGCCCCCGCAGTCCCGGCTCTTCCGGATGGAAGACGGTAGGGCTTCTTGGTTCGGAGCTTCACGATACTTCAGGGCTTCAGGCTTTAGGGTTTAGGGTTTGGGGATTGGGGTTTAGGGCCTGGGTTTAGGGTCTAGGGTTTAGGGTTTGGGGTTTGGGGTTTAGGGCCTAGGGTTTCGGGGTTCAGGGGTTCCGTTCGCGGGTGTTGTAGTTTCATGGAGCATGTTTGGGCGTTGTTTTGAGGGTGCTAGATTTAGGGTCCAAGCTATCCGGGGCTCTTGTCAAGAAGCTGAACATGCCAACTCCAAAGTAAGAAGAAAAACGCACAAGAAGGTTGCTCAACTCTAAAACCCCAACCTTTAGGCTTTAGAGTTTCCAAACCCTAAACTCTAAAAGCCTAACCTTTAGGGTTGAGAGTTCAGGGTTGAACCCAAAACCCGAAACCCTAAAGCCTTGAACTATGGAGTTGAACCCTGAACGCTAAACCCTAAGCCCTCGCTTCTCTCCGTGCACCCAAAGCACGCGCAGTGGTCTCGCGCTCTGAAAGGAGCATCCGCCACTCCACGGCCTCGACACCTCCGCCCCCAAAATCTGTGGGTTTTTAGGGTTGAGGGTTCAGAGTTTAGGGTCTAGGGTTTAGGATTCAGTGTTGAGGGTTTAGGGTTTAGGGTTGAGGGTTTTTAGGGTTTAGGGTTTTGGGTTTAGGGTTTAGGCTTGTGGGTTTAGGGTTTAGGTTTAGGGTTCAGGGTTTAGGGTTTGGGGTTGAGGGTTTGGGCATAGGGCTTGATACTTAGAATAAGGTTTGGGGTTAGTCCATATTACACCGACCATCGGGAAATGTCGATTATGTCCCCGTCTGGGACCTATCAAAACAACACGCCGAGAAGAAAGTCCTAGGTCCTAGC